AGGAGCTGCAACACCCCGAGCAACCATCACCACACCCCCCGGATGGGATGGGGTGGCCGGGGGACCTCATCCTGCAGCCCCCCACGATGTGGCCTTGCAGTGAGGAGCCCGAGGGAGCAGGGCTGGGTTGGATCAAGCCCAGCTCCTCACATCTGGGCTCTCCTTCCTCAGGAGCCACCAAAAAACCCCCCCCCTTGCCACCCTTTCCTTGGGATAAAGTGCTCCCAGCATCCGGGCTGCACCTTCCTCAGCAATTCCCTCCCTTGGGGCGAGTTGTAGAGGAGAAAATATTTCCCTCCCCAGCTCCCTCAGTGTCCAGAGGTCTCTGGCAGGAGCAGGGAAAGGAAACGTGTTCCAGGGAGGGAAGAGGCAGCAGAGCCTGATGCTGCTGGGGAAGCTGCAGGGAAAAATGGGATCAAGGTCTCGGTTGCTGCCTGGCAGGGGCTGGGGCATCTGCCTGCAAATCCTTGCTGGGCTCTGCCACCCCCCCAGGCTGCTGAGGATCAGGTTGGAGTTCTCTGCAGATGTTTTATTGATAGGGGAGTTTAGAGGGTGTGTGGCTGCCAGGCAGTTTCCTTTTGGGTAGGATAAAAAATAAACCCAACCAGTAAACCAACACCTCGAATCTTCAGCCTGTCCCTCCATCCAAATCCCCCCCACCCTGGGTCTCTGTGGGGTGATTTGTCCTGGAGGAGAGGGGAAAACACTGACCTGGCAGCAAGTGCTGCTGGATGTTTGGGGGGGCTGAGCTGCCCTGTGTGGGATGTGGGCTGGGGAAGGGCTGATCCTGCCCTTCCAGCTTTGTGCTGTGCTCTGGGGTCAGGCTGCTCCTGCCCTTCCTGCCCCAGCTTTGTGCCAGGCTCGTGGCTCTGCTGGCACTGCCCCCTTGGAGGTGGTGCAGGAACCCTCCTGGGGGCTGCTGAAGGGGCACACAGCACCCTGCTCCCTGCCAGGCTATGGAAGCCAGGTGGCAAAACCCAGGAGGCTGGGGCCAGCTCCCTGCCATGCATCCCTGCTGGCTCCCTGGCAGCTGGATTGACTGGTGGGCTTCCCATCCTGGCACGAGCAAGGATCCCATCCCAAGCAAGGATCCCATCCCAAGCAAGGATCCCATCCCAAGCAAGGATGCTCCGTGTGGTCCAGCACCGTTGGCAGCAGGGCAGGGTTGTCTCCCTTCCCTGCCTGGAGCCAGCAGGGTGGCAGCTGGAGGCTTTGGATGGCACTTTGGGAAGAGGCTTCATGGCATCGGCTGGAGAAGCCTGGATGGGAGCAGAGCCTGAGGCAGGGGGCTCAGGGAGAGCTCCAGAGGGACCTGGATGAGGACAGCAGGGGAGAAATGGCACATCCTGGAGCTGAAGGGATGGTTCTCCAAGCCTGGGGGCTGATTGCCCTGGAGCTGGTGGCTGCAGCAGGAGCAGCTCATCCCTGCTCTGGGCTGGATGCCTCAGGCTGGGCTTTCCTGGTGTCTGAAGGTGCAGAACTGGCCCCTTTTTGCTTTGAGGCACCCAAAACATCACCCACCTCGTGGAGAAGAGCTGGCATTTCTGCCCTGAGGAGCCTTTGAGGATGCTTGTTTCTCCTCCACCAACCCAGGAGTGTGCCTCCCATGTGGAATATAATACTGACAGGCCCAGGAGGGCCTTCCCAAGGGACGTTTGCCACCCCAAATTGGATCTAACGTGGACCTAGGGGCTCTGCACCTGCTCCTGGTTACCTGGACACCCTCCTGACCTCTCCAAACCCACCCGTGTTTGTTCGGGGGCATCGGCTGAAGACCAGGAGGATGGGATCTGTTCCTTGGCCTGCCCACAGGGCAGTGGGAGATGTTTGCACCCAGGTCCTGCTCCTGGAGCCCCAGTGTTGCCCCGTCCCTCCCACAGAGCTGCCCTAAGCCCTGAGCACCCCCTCTCGAGCATCTCCCCTCATCTCCCCATGGCCTGAGGAGCAGGTCCCACCACGGCCAGGTGGGCAGAGGTGTGAGGGGCCACCTGCCCCCCTGGCCACTTGTTCCTGTGGTCCAACCTGCTCCCCTGGCCACTTGTTCCTGTGGTCCAACCTGCTCCCCTGGCCACTTGTTCCTGTGGTCCAACCTGCTCCCCTGGCCACTTGTTCCTGTGGCCCAACCTGCTC